TTTGTTGAAAAAATAAATGCAAATACAAAAAATACCCAGACGACAATGGAGCTCTGTGTGGTCTTCTGGCATTAATAAATATCAAGCTTGCATTTTTGGGAATTGTTCAGATTATGGAGAATACAATTTACATTGAAATTCCATTGGGGTTTCTACCTATGCAGATTCCTGGAAAAACTAAGAGGTTATTCATTTATGAAAAGCTCTTAAGCTGACGAATAATAATCATGAAATTTTAATGAAACCTGACAGAGATATTTAAAAGCGTAATTGTGCGTACATTGTGCCACTCCACCTATCATCCAGACAGCTGTAAAACTGAGAGAGCTTATTACAAACAAGTGTTTCATGTTGGTCAAGAACACATTATGTATGGTGTATAGAGTCCCAAATGTTTTATTCTGTGCCAAAAAATCATCGAACACCCTCACCGCCAGAAGAGATACAATTTGATATCATGTCAGATATGTGAAACGATTTGCACATCAAAATTTAATCATATTTCAATAAGCCGAGTGGTGATTTATTTTCTTTTGAATACCCAACATTCCATGGGCCTCCATTCAAATTTGTGCCTTGGGCGACAGATCTTGTTAAGGAAATTAAAAGATGAAAAATAAGAAAAACAAAACAGCTGACAGACAATCAGAGAAATTGACGGGCCGTGGCCCACACACACACAGAAGGAGGGAGAGCCCTGTGACAGACCAAAGGAACGGAGACTAAAAAGAAATCATCGTCAATAAATTGCAGGCTGACTTGTGAAATTTACGCAAAAAAAAAAAAACGAACAAGAGCAGCAGGAAAATACTTGTAAGAAGATGATGATGAAAAGTTATTAATGGAAAGAAATACCAAAGACTCTTTGTCGCCACGTTGCTTTGGCGTTGGCTGTCGCTGTCGCTGTCTCGTGCATTTCTTTTTAATTGTACAATAATATTAAATTGCGAAAGTTGCACAAGCAAATTATTAATGGTTGCATGAGTCGTATGTCGTCTGTGGGTGTGTCGAGAGTCAGGCAAGTGTGAAGGAATAAACAATCGTATTTGTATCTGTATCTGAGGCCGTATTTGGGTATATGTTTGACTGGCTCTTTTTTTGGGGGCCTTAAGTGCACCAGCGGCCAAATATGGGGAAATCGAATGATGTGCGAAGGAAAAGCTTCCACAATCGTATGACAATTTCATTTTAAATGTGCCCCGGCTGCCAGCTGTGCTGATTTTCCTCGAAACGAAATCTTAGTAGGGATCTGCCACCTCAGTGATAGAGTTTTACATTCTGGGAATCGGTGAAATGCTCGTACCTGAATAACCTAGCCCACTAACCGGGTTCCATTTTCATTCACATCGCTCGTGCAAACACACACAAACAGCTGTTGCGGTTACGGCTTTTGTGAGCCATAAAAAAGCAAACAAAACAATGCGAAAAATTTAAAACAATACTCGTACGAAATTGTTATAGTCGTATTGGGGTGGCAGGAAGGAAGGCAGTGAAACGAAAAGAAAAGTCAATATTTCCAAGAAAATCAAGACAAACAAGAGGCAACATAAAAGGCAAAGTCAAATGAAGGAAAAATTGTGAATCCATGTCCATGCGAAACAGTGTGAGTGCAAAAGAATACGTATAAAGGGGAACACTGGAACACTTGAAATGCATTTTAACGCACTCTCCCCCACCGCTGCAGACACAATTCTTTGGTTAATTTTGATAGTTTGGGTATGCTGTGTTTTTGCGGTAAAATGATGGTACTTAAATATGTACAATTTGTAGAAGCAAAAGTATTTTATGAGTTTTGGTATTTTTAGCTATTAAATGGCCAATGCCAAAACACACATGACGTATGCGTAATATGAAAATATCCCACGCAAAACACAGCCAGTGTGGACTTGCCTTGACATCCAACAAATTCCATTTACAAGGGTTGTGTACGCGTATGTATTTATTTGCATATATAATATATATATATATGGCTGGTCAAATTTCATCTTCCTATGCATTTTTATTTCACAAAAAATAACTGCAAAAGAACACTGCCACGGTGGGTGTCCGGCTACGGGGGAAGTTCCAGTGTGTACGATATGGCCGGGGCTTTACGACCAGACGACATTGCACAACGAGCCGCATGTATATTTTTTAATAGCTGCAGTTTGTTTACAAATTGGCGACATTAAAAACTATTAAGAGGAATCGACAGGCGGGTGCGCGAACGGCCGCACGGCCTCCGCCAAGAAGAAGGGAAAACTCTTGACGAAGGCAAATAAAAACAAATTATAAATAAACGCAAATAAATAGAAAGATACGGTTGTGTCTCGCGGGCATGGAAAACTGTGTCGCTGTGTCAGTGATGCTGCGACGCGTCGCCACATTTCCCCGCGCTCGCGTTTTAAATAGCCAACAAAACGCGCGTTTGTCGCGCCGCTGTCGCGCGTTTTGCATAGCATCAATTTGTATTTTCTAAATGCCAAATGCTTCTTGATAGAATCCTCCCCCCCCCCCCAAAAAAAATGCCTAAAATTAAAGTATTTTTACCTTTGAGCAGCAGCAACTTGTTTGTCTCGGAAAATTGCACGTACTGTAGCTTTTGGGGTTTTTGTGTTCAACTTTAACCCAATGGGAATTTATTTTCACTGGCACTCTCACGACTCGTCGCTTAATTGCCACTGCACTTGATCTTATATGGTGGTGTATGGTGTATTATTCGGACCCGCGCGGCTGTCCGTTGGAGCGTTCTACTTCGCTGCGCTGCTTTTTCAATTGTGATTGCGTTCGGTATTGGGAAAAAGTCCAATACCAAACGCAATCAATCCCACTCAAGTCCGCGGCAGAGAGAGCAACGAAGCAACGAATCGTCAAGCCAGCCGTTTCGTCTGTTTTCTTGGCCGAAGCTCCGATCCCACTCAAGATCCCACTCGGCCCCCGAGAGCACGAGAGCAAGACGAGCGCGATAGCGATCGCTTTTGAGCTTTTTTCTCTGGTCCCCCGCATAAGCTGCTGTCGGGCGATCAAAAGCGTAATAAATTCATTGCAAATGAGTGAAACGGCGGAGGAAGCAGCCCCGAGTCACAGAGAGTGAGAGAGCGGCAAGAGGCCGAGTCCATTGCATATTTCTGTGCATTATTTTACCTTGGCAGCTTTATTAATTGCGTGCAGGGGCCTGGTTTATGCTCTCGGGCATGGCATAGGCAATAGCACTATTACATACATATGCTTGGCGCCACAGTGAGAGCGCGGCAGCAGGAACCGCAGCAACAAAAAAAAGCGCATCTGTCAGGCCACAAATCAAGCAATAATTTAGTTATACTTGCACACCGATACGGCTTACTTACTTCCACTTCCTAGAGAGGGTAGGGTATATGTGCATATGTATGTCTGGCACACACGTGCTCGGATATGCACTATGCTGTGGGCATGGTCATGCTTCATGGTACGCCTACAACACGTTGCCATAATCTGCATACACGACTAGCCTAACGCCACCGTACTTCTACTTATACTCATATGATTACGAGTACGAGTACGACTACGAGACGCACAAACATACAAAACAAACATATGTATGTACATACTCGTGCATATATCGCTCACTCACCATATCCCACTCCCTCTCAACTCAACCCGATTCGGATGCGTCACAGTGCATATTTTAGGCCCGCTGATATAACTCGAGAGTAGACCCCTAGACAGCGGCCACTCGAGCGGAATACGTAGCAGCTTCCAAGAATGCCTGCTATGTGGGGGTGTGACGTCTGGCCAAGATTATCCTCCCTCTCACTCTTTCTCTCTCTCTCTCTTATGCTGATATTCATTGAGTGATTTGCTCTCGTTGCCAGCCCTTCTCCTCCTCCTCCTGTCAATGCGATTGTCTCTCATCGTTTGCGACAATTCTTTTTGCTGGTCCTCTGCGTCATGGTTTGTTATGGTTTTCCTCCCAGCTTTATTTTGGATTGCATTGCCATACCCCGGTGCGCGTAGGGTAGAAGGGTATGTCCAGTTCGTGTAAATGGATGCAACAGGCTGAAGAAAATGTATCCGATTCGTTTAAAATTCCGTTTAACTGTTGATTCCACCAAGTAACCCTTGGATCATTAAAATGCTAGGATCTTAAGCAAGCAAATTAAATATAAATAATTTTTAGATTGCCATCCAAGCCGTAGAAATACTGATGTGGGACATGGGGTATATGAAAATCGGTTTAAAATGATTCCGTTTAAATAATAACAACGAGTGATTAAAACAATCTAATATATATATATATTCGTGGTAAGTTTTTATTCAATGGAAACATTTTTTTGTGGATATTTTTAGTCTATTGGCAACTTTTTGAACTATAAATATATCAGTTGAGAGGGACTCTCATAGTCGGAATATTGAAAATAATATTTGGTTTACTTGGTTTATCTCTGCTGATGTCATTAAATTTAATAAACACATCAGTGAAGTCCATATGTTTATTTATGATTTATCAGCTGTTTAAATACGGCAGATGATTAACATGTGGACTTATATACACACTGTACATAGTATATGTGTGTAATAATATTATCAATGGATGATTCCGTTGAATTATTTAAGCGAAATTATTCAATAGAAGTTGGCAGGGCCTTGTAGTTTCTTTCTCGGATCTAAATCAGCATTATTTAATCATTAATAAGTTGAAAGATTTTCCCTGAGTAACGATATATGGTAGGCATGAGAGGGTCGGTTCGTGGAAATTTGCGAGCAATCAAAGACCATTTCCATGGCCAGATTCAGAGTCGGAAATCGAGCAAAAACAAATACGAGAAAGACAAACGAATTTGGCATTTATCCAACAGATTAATAAGCAGCATGGGGAACGTGCGCCCTGAGATTTCCGCAGCAAATAAAATCAAAAGAAATCGAATACGAAAGTGCACGGGTCCCATATTCATTGGCATATTGTAATTTATATAATGCCAATCACAATCACTGACAGACCGAGACACAAATTGTGATTGCATTCGACCTCTTCCTCATTGCAGTTCCAATTCACCAAGTTCCCCAGCGTGCTGAAGGCCGGACATTGTCATGGCGGAGTGGCCACCGCCCGGCTGGAGAACCAGAGCGCCCTGCAAGACGCCGCCGGACTGGTGAGCGGTGCCGGCAACGAAACGCATTGTTATTGCACCATCGAGCCCTACATCGATGCCAAGTTCAGCGTTCACATCCAGAAGATTGGCAACAACTACAAGGCATTTATGTAAGTGATGACCACAAACCGCAGACGGCGCACACAATGCTGAAAGCCTCAATGATGATGGGTTCGGTTCGGTTCGGTCCGGGGATCCAGATGGGTCGAGTGGTCTGGACCGACAATTGACCTTGAGCTCAACGGCAACTGTCAGCAGATAAAAGCTGCCGCAATGCAATTCCCAATTATCCTACCAAGTGCAGCAGGCGGCATAAGTTCATTGTTTGCCAACCAAACAGCGACGAGTTCAAAGATCTGTCTCTCTCTCTTTCTCTCTCCCTCCCCCTAATGCCCCAAACTGCGGCAGCTTTGTGTGGCATCGAATTATCTACGCTCTTTTGTGGCATGCTAATTTATTACGCTTGCTTGCTTTCGCTCTTTAACAGGCGCAAATCCATCACGGGCAATTGGAAGACCAATCAAGGCTCGGCCATGCTGGAGCAAATCACTTTAACCGAGAAGTACAAAACCTGGGTGGATGAGGTAAGTCATCAAAGCCGACTCTGGAGATACTAAATCATACAATAAAATAAATTGTATACTCGTAGTACCTAAGCGACTTGGGTATACTCTAAAAGAGCGCTAAAATGTGCAATGAATTTAATGATAGAATACCAGAAGACTGCTGCTTCTGCTGCTATATTGGAGGCTGTAAATTCTTGAACATTTAAGGGAAATCTATTATATATTCTGCTTACACACAAGTAGATCTACATTTTGGAGTGTGCCATTTTTGTGTGTCCCAGAAGAGAGATGTTCGCTAACGAACATGAAATATATAAATATAGGAAATATATTACAGTCCATATTCTTAGGCTCCTTCACCACTGACTGCCCCATGGGCCACAGCACATTACAGCCGGTACAGCCTCCATTTCTGGGCCATGCCAAAGCAGCTCTGTGCAGCTCTGTGCAGCTCAGCTCAGCTTTTGCACACATTTATCACATTTTGCCAATCAATATGGCTGAGCCAAATCGCTTTAAATTATTTGCGGCATTTTGGGTGCACAATTTTGATTTCGGCTGTGGTCTGATTCGCCCAGTGGGGGGTGGGTGGTGGCGGTGGTATTCGAAGGAGAACGATTCGGGTCTACTACTTTGACTGACATCACTCGATGGCTGTTTACTGTGCCCTCGAGTGTCGGCGCCGCTTTAATTAGAGCTCATGAATATGCAAATCGCAAGACAGTTGAAACGGATTAAGCCGCAAACACTGCATGTGTGTGTGTTGGCTATGAGGTAACGGGAATGGAACAATCTGATTGCCTGATGAGGTATTTATGTACATGAAAATGCCATCGATTGAGGTATGCCATCAAACAGAATCCGTAGCCCCCATAGATGGCTCAGCGGCGCTTCCTTGGAGCGGAGGCTGAATCATTCGATTCGCTTTCCGGCAGTGCATATGAGCATTAATTAATGCCATTTTGTTGCACAAGTATTCCGGCATGCGGGAAGTGTTTAGGGTTATGTGGGTGGGCCGATGACGACCAAGCGTCGTCGATTCGAGTTTTCTAGGCGCGTCAGCACCAGTTTTAATCAAAACAAACTGTGTAATTAAAACCAACTGCGGCAGCCCACACATCGAACAGTCTCTGGACCCTGCCACTGACTCGGCTGGCTTGGACGGGGCATGAAATCGAAACCACATTTTGGGGTCATGACTCAATCGCGATGGAGCAGAGACGTGGCAGGGCAGGGCAGGGCAGGGCAGGGAATTCTAATCACTAATGCAATTGGATCACTTACAGATATCGGAGCTCTTTGGCGGCATGGAAGTGTGTGGTCTATCCGTGGTAGTGGCCAAAGATGGACGCGAGTTCATCATCAGCGCCTGCGACAGCACTTTTGCGCTCATCGGGGACAGTCAGGAGGACGACCGCAGGCAGATCGCCGACCTAGTGTCGGGCCGCATGCAGGTGGGTTGGACAACACTCTTCCATCCAAAGAGCCACCACCTGTAACTAGCTGCTTCTCTCCCTTAGAATGTGTGCCGCCCCAGCATGGCTCAGACAGGACCGGGCAGGCTGCCCTCTCGCTCTTCGGTGTCCTCACGGGCCGAGAGCCCCACAGACGATGGCATGGCCCCAACACCGCCACTTCCAGCCGGACCACGGCCAGCACCGATGGGCGGGCCACCGCCCATACCGGAGCGTACCTCGCCAGCAGTCGGCTCCATTGGACGGCTGAGCAGCCGCAGCAGCATATCGGAGCTGCCGGAGGAGCCGTCCTCCTCAGGGCCGAGCACTGTGGGAGGAGTGCGACGCGACTCGCAGACATCGCAGGCATCAAGCATCTCGTCGGTGTCCAGGGTGGGACAACGTCCTCCGCAGACGCAGAACTCCGTGGTGGAGGATGCGGAGGACACGATGAAGAACCTGAGGAAGACGTTCGCGGGGATATTTGGTGACATGTAGGAAATCGCTAATAAGAAGCGCGGCAGAACGGCGAGCGAGACAAGCAGCGGCCTGGGCAGTGTGCCCAGCAGCGCGGGACCAGGGAGCAGTGGAGCCAGCGGCTTCAGTGGCTCCTTCCTGGGCAAGCAGTTCTCGTTCGCCTCGGGCGGCAAGTCAGGCAACGGCAACGGCAATAGCATCGATGTGATCTCCACACAGCCCAGCCGTCCGCAGGAGGAGCCACCAACGGCCATCTCAGCCGTCCAGCCCGGCAGCAGCGTTTCGGATAGCGTCAACACAACTACGGATACAAATATGGATAAAGCCGCCGGCGGCTATAAGCCGGTGACCAACTTTGAGCCACAGGAACGGGTCAATCCCTTCGACAAGGAGCCGCACAAGTCATCGAGCGTTGCCAGCATTGCTGGCGCTGCCTCGAACAACACCACCTCATCCTCCTCGTCGATCTCATCGTCATCGATCTCATCGCGCATCAATCGCAATGGCAACTCCATCAAGTCACCGCCCCCACCTGCGGGGCCACCACCGCCGCCACCCACCGTGGCCACGGTCCACAGCAATGCCAACAGCTCGAGTGGCTATCGCAACAGCTTCAGCAGCACCCTCAGCAAGGACAAGACCAGCTACGGCAACTACGGCAGCTCCACCTCCATCGAGACCATCACGCGGATGGACACAAACACCACAAACACAGCGGCCACGGCCACGGGAGCGGGCGAGGCCAGCGGCATCACTGCCATCACCAGCATCAGCAACAGTGCAGGCGTGGGAGTAGGAGGAGCAGTTGCTGCCCCCACTACAGTTGGAGCGATGACCACTTCGGCCACCACAAACGATTGGCGCTCGACCATAGGCATACGCTCGGCCAGCGTCTACAGTGCACCGGCGGCGGTGACCACCACAGCGTTGCCGGGTGACACGTCCGGCTATGACTCCAACTCGATTGCCTCGCAGGCCGAATACAACAATCCCAGCGATCTGCCCTCGTACACCAGACCCTCGTACGCGCGCTCCGAGAGCAATGGTAATTATCTAGCTGTGGGCGTACTCCTCGTCAGCCTAACGCTGCGCAAGACCTAGATCAAGACATTGGTCCTTCAAAAAGCTACCAATACTCATAACTATATATATGCGCTCATGTCATTTAATCTCATTATCGTACTAATCAGCTACACCCCATATAGGTATAATCCCACATAATCGTACGGTATATACTAATAGTACATACATAGAGACCAACTAACTGTAACTTACCTACATAAGTGTATGTGTAAACTCTTAGCCATGTAGGCAGCCAAGGCGGTGTCAAAAAGTGTGTTAGCCAAAAAAAAAAGCGGACGAAACGAAAGCAATTAGGTGTTTTTTTCTTTTGTTGATTTGATTTGTTGGTTGTTAGCCTACCTAACTGTTTTGACTTTCCTAGTACGCCAACTCTCTCTCAGAGTGTAAGCCAAATATTACGTATACGACCTGCGAGCCGCCCCCAAGTGTTTGTAAGTCTCTCTCTCGCCCAGTGCTGCTATCGCTTGTCTGCACGCACCTAAATACAGACAGAAACACACACACAGAACACACACATTAAGCACTCACGCACGCACACAGAACAACAGCAGACAACAACTAATACAGGTAACAGTACAGTACAGTAACAACTCGCTAGAGTGCACCGCAAACTTGAGCTTCTGGGCACGCATCGCATCGAAACGAAACAACAAACAACAACAAAACCAAACAAAGGGAATACAAATGCAACAAATCCAAAACACACAAAAACAACAAATGTCTAAAAGTACTCGAAGCTTCTAGTTGAACTAAATTTTTGGTAGTTAATGCAACCATTTTTGAGTTTACTGTTGTTAAATGTGTGTACGTGTGTGTATGTGTGTCTCTGTGTGTGTGAAGTAAATGCAGAGTTATCAAAAGATGTCTTCGAAAATGATGATCCCTTGAGCCCTATATAAATTCACATTTCCCCATTCGGTCACACATCATTCATGAGATTTTTTTTGGTAACACTCATTTGGCTCATTCTCCATCACCTCGAATCAAGTTGGTATTATAGAAAAAAAAGCGATTGGCTCACGTAGTGCTAGTAATAAGTGCTCAAGACCCATGCACCCACGCCAAATTGATGTGCACTTTGAATCCACAAGAAACCCAAAAACTTGTCCACTAATCCAAGCTTTCGATTCTTGCAGCCTCCAAGTCATCGGATCTGGACATTATATTCGGCGAAACCAAGACCAACACCACCACCCCATCCTATGGCAGTGGCAAGTTCACCAGGGCCGCTGGCTCCATCTCTGATGCGGACATGATTTTCGGGGGACCGCCTTCGAACTACAAGACCGATCGTTTCGGTGCGGCCAAGAGCATGAGCATGAGCTCCAGCGGAGTGGGCTCTGGCTCTGGCAGCGGCATCGGCTCGGGCGGCTATAAGATCTACGAAGGCATACAGAATGCTGCGTTCAGTGACTTCAGCGACACGGGCAGTGTGAGCAGCATGGGATCGGCCACCAGGCGCTGGAGTGCCGCCAGAGAAGAAAACGATGATGATGAACTCGATTTGAAGTGAATCTAAAACGCACTCTAACCTACATATAGCCATCACCTATCATTCTCACAAACATATACTATGGAAATCGATCTGTTTTCTGCCTCTGAAGTTTCCTGGTTTCATGCGAATGAACACTAAACACCAAACACTAAATACTCATACTCATACTCATCTATCCACCATCAGCGTTGGGTTACTATCCTCTTCACTATGTATCTAACTATAAATGTGTGTCTTGTTACTGAATATTTACTGTAAACCCAATGAATTCATTTGCCATATATGAGAAGAGAAGGGAAAAATGTTGAGGATGAAGCAGCTCTGTAGACACTGTAGTACACTCCTAATCTATAATTATAACCACCAATGCAACAACAATAATGCAAAGAACGTATGATGAAACATACAAGTGTGTGTCTGTATATGCAAAGATGACTTGACTGGTTTTGCAGCATGATAAAATTAAATGGGAAAAATAAACACATTTAATTACCATACCTAAAACATTTTGAAAGATTTTCCAAAAAAAAACATGAAATTATATACATATATTAAATATATTATTGAGACAAATATTGAATTATATACCCCACATATTAAAACGATTGAGAGTTGAGGACATAAAAAAGGTATCCGCCAGCGTATATATTAAATGTTAATGGGAGAACTTTTAATCGAAAAACATATGTATTAATGAATTTGTTATATACCAACATGAGACATGATATAATATCAAAAATAACTATAAATAAATATAAAAAAAAAAAACATAAAAGACAATATGCGCAACAGTATGATAAACAAGCAAAAGTTTAATACTAAAACTAATATATTATATGCGTTATATGCGTTATAATTATAATGGAATAAATCGGTTATTGAACTGCATACATACATATATGTATGTGTGTATAAATTCCGAAATTACTATGAGCAAATGTTACATACCAAACACACACAAAGGCGAATGCCACTTACACACAAACTAAATGTTTATTATGGTAACCAACCAACCACAAATATTACGACTATGATTACCATTATGATCTATTAGCAGTTAATGTTTGCGAACGAAAGCTATCGAAGGCTATGGAGAGATTTACCAGAAAGGACAAGCAATTTTAAGCTAGAAACAGCAACAATAACGAACCAAACATATTCGAATCTCTAAGGATGCACGCTGGCATCCACAGGAATTACAATTATAGGGCTCAGTCGGTACAGCGGAGATTGGGAGCAGCTGAAGATGAAGAATATCTAGATAATATACATACATAAATACAAATAAATATTTATAAATGTTGCAAGCGACAACAACGAAGTCATATTAATCATTCAAGATATATTCAACTGATGCAATAGCTTCGTGTTCGATCGGTCGGATTATCCATTTGATTTAGCTAGAATTGTTCTTCTGTTACGCACATGTTTAAGCATTATTTATACCATAGACAATTTTACAAACGTGTTCTGTTAAAGATGAAAAATAATAGACGAATTCGATATCGAAAACATAATTTCAATTGGGTTGTATTCATATCTCTCGCTCTCGGCTATATAAACTAGACACATATATTAGAGCATTTTAAAGTACACATATTAAATACAATTTAAACTTGAGAAATTTGTTACTTTTTAAAGAGAACTCCCTTCGATTTTAGTAGAATGCAACAAACATTTTAATCGAAACAAATTTACAACTTTACAAGTATAATAATGCAACTATTGTTTTGGGTTAGTTCATTGGGAACTTCTAGTATATCGAGTATATCATCCTATCATCTTATACATACATAAATAAATTATAAAATATACAAAATATAAATTTAAGTATAAGCGAATCTTTGGCTACATGTACTTTTTCGTAACCGTATACATCATCAATATAATCAAACTGGCACATATTCACAAAATGTTTTATAAACATACAAACATACATACATTCGTATATGTATTTATAGCGACAAATGTAGAACAGAAAGTACATAAATAAATACAGGCATCCATATGATATATCATGGCACACCCAACCCACAAGACACACCCCATAACTACTCGTACAACAAACATACATACCGTACCGTACACACATACATATATCACGCATCAAACGATAATAAAATGCCGAAAATGCTGAAAAATATAAATTGAAATTCAAACGAAATACTCAAGCATAATGCATATAACTTACACGACTTCTAATCTGTTGCAAAATACTATACCAAATAAATACTCGAATTATTGTGAAAGTATAGCAAAGATATGTACATGCATTGCATACATATGTATGTACTATATGTATTTATATGTTGTCTGTAATTGATGAACAAAAATCAACATGCCCCATTACGAGCACCATGCTGGAATGATTGCACTCACAAATTTATTGCAAATCTATATATACGATATACATACATACTCGTACAATAAATTATTCCAACAACAGCAGCTAGGAAAAAGCAAAGCATAAAAGTAACAATAAATGAGTTGATGATTGATACAAAAGCAAAGACACAAATTGTTTTTCCCTCTTCCACTCTTCCACTCCTTCGTTCTTCATTTCAGTTTCAGTTTTTATATCCATTTGAACGCACAATTTCGCGTGCGTTTACCTGTCAAATTGAGTTAGCATTGACATTTGGCAAAGTCGTTTTCCTGGAAGCGACGATCAAGGTGAGCTACTCCTTGGGCCGGAAAAACGTCTGTGGGTAATTTCAGGCTAATGACACTAGTACCTATAGTAGGAAAAACACTCTCGCTTATGCGCCTCGATCGGCTTTTATGGTGCAGCGATGCCTGCCAAATGATTGCCTGCTCTCAGCACCTAAGCACCCTCCCTGCACCCTCCTCACCAGACGATCTGCTGCCTGCCAAGGCGGAACAGCAGCTTGGCATGGCAGATGGGCGACGGATAAAAGCCAGGCGTTTGGCCAGGCCCAGACTAGTCACAAGTCACAACAGTCGGTAGACGCACGCGATCTTCGAAATGCAGCAACCAGGCTCGGATTACATCACCATCTTGCTGCTGGGCCTAGTCTGCTCCCTCAGCGTTGGTGAAGCAGCCAGCAGACAGCTGCAGATTTACGACATGGATATGGACAATGAAGTGTCAGGAAACACCACCGAAGGCCACCAGCACAGTCCTGCCCTGACGCTGGAGAGACCTCTGAGCTGGCTGAAGCAGGCCCATAGCATGTTCGGCAGTCCCGCCGGTCATGTGGTCATCCAGATGGCCAAGGAGCTTCTTCACCGCTCCGCGGGCAACAGTCAAGTGGGTGATCAACTCGTCATTTCGTCAGCTTCTCTGGTCGTAACTCGTATCTGGTTCTCTTTTAGGTGCTCAGCCTGAATCTCACCAATTTGCTGATCATCATACTGCTCAAGGTGCTCATCTTTTCTGCTGGGATACTCGGAGCAGGACATTGGAGTGGCTATGGCCATGGCTATGGTCGCTCCACCGGACGCAGCGACAATGCGTATGGCATGGGCCTGGAATCGGGTGATGACTACATGATAATGGGCTTCCTGGCCGCCCAGGGAGCCGGTCGCGACGAGTGTCTCTATGCGGCGGCCTGTGCCTGCCCCAATGCAGCCTATGAGTACGCCAAGGCGGGACGCGCCCTCCTGGGTGCCATCGAAGTGTTCGAGGGGTAAGGTTTATCCACTATTTAATTTGTGAAAAGCATTCACTTAATGTTTTATCCTCAGGGCACCCGCAAAGAAGCCTCGCTACAACGATCTAATTGTGCTGATGGAACGCGCCGCCTACGATGGCTATCGAGGCGTGGCCTGCAACACTACCCAAACATGTGATGGGCTTCTATGAGACCCCATCCGATCCTGGCTATTATTAGTGGATATTTATGTGTATCTTTAAATTTATTTTATTATGTTGTAGTACAAAATGAAGTGCAGAGGTTAGTGCATTTCTGGCCGTCACCGAACTTGGCTGCTGGCTGGTAGCTTGTGGCTGGTGGCTTGTGGTGTACAGTCTCAAATGGTTCAGCTTGGAAATCAAATTAGTTGCTAAATATATTTTAACTATTCTAAATCTATTATTGTGTCTATTATGGGATGATGCGATGCCCTCTGGTGTCGGCTTAGTGCAGCAGATTCCTGTCCATGCCCGGCTGCTCCTTACCGCCGGATATGGCTTTAACGAACTCCGGATAGTGCAGGAGCCCATCGTTGTTCTCGTCGGCAATCAGCAGAAACTTATCAATGGCCTCTGTGTGTGACATATATTACACATTAATTTATTGGCTATAATATTAAATATAGCGAGAATTTATTACCTATAAAGTGCTCTAGTTCATCGGTGGCATTCTGCAAGTACTCATCCCGCTCGCTGTTCTTGAAGTAGTCGTAGTTGTGGTGCATGGCTGATTGTATCATCTCCAGGCCATCCAGTGCATTGTTATTGTCATTGTCGTGGGCCTGTAATTCCAGAAACATTTTAATGACTTTCACTTTGATGAGGGGTGTTTCTGCGGGGTGTCCACCTTAAACATATAGAATATTTTCTCTTCCTCGCTCAGGTCGTCCAGGTTGGCCTGCACGCCCATTTCCTTGAGATCATCATCGATGCGACTGATGGGAAAAGCCAATAATTAATGGAGAATCAACACTTTGGCCGCAGTTGTGGGCCCCCACTTACTGCTCTTCGTGGGTGAGGTGCTGATCCACGCGGCGGGTCTCGCCCCGCGGATGGTGGGGTCCCCTCTTCAGGGCCAGGGCTCCATCGAAGCTTTGACTGAAGTTGGCAATGCAGATAATAAAGTTTAGCACATTCGATAGCTTGCACATTTTGTACATTCAATTGGGAAGCTCTGACAACACTTTGGTCGGGCAGTGGAAGTGTGTAAGTATTTGGTGGTTGTTGGCCAACAGCCACAACTGTCAAAGAGCTGTCAAAGCACCGCGGCGGGACAGTGCGCAGCCGCTGACTGGCGAGTGGCAACTGTCAGATTCAAACTTAGCAACCTCTGAGTCGGTTGTACGTTTGTTCAATAAAATTCATTACTATCGGGTTGTAGTACCTAAACCACACGTCGACTTACATCAATTTTCACTAAACAATTGTAAAATTTTATCAGATTTCATTGGCAAAATGTGTGAGCCTGCCTGTGACGATTTGGAGACCTTCAATCCCCAAGTGGAGTTTCAGAAGTTTCTCAAACGCAAGCCAGTCGTCCAGACGGCCAAACTCTATGAGAATCTACACAAGCGCGAGGACATCAAGTGTCCCTGTAAGTATTCTCTCTTTGCCGCAGAAGAAATGAACTTCTAATTTTATTTTTTTCTATGCAGACCGCTTCAAGGGCTATGGCGTGGAGACAGACACCAATACCATGTACCGCACTTGCAACTCAGAGTACGGATACTATGCCCCCAATGTCTATACCATACCTAAGCGCTTCCATCCGCGTCCCCAGAAGTTCTCCAATGAGGTGGCGCGCTTCGGCATGTATCGCAATTTCTCCCTCAATACCCACATAGATCGCACATTCTACTAGATTTTATATGCTGTGCAAAGCAACGAGCAACCCTTTTATGGTTTTCTAAAAATTTATAAATCCGTTTCTGACCAGACCAAACACTACAACACAACCTTTTCTATCCATTTTTCCATTTAAACACCACTTAACATCATTAAAATCTGTAAAAATTGTATATGTAAAAAAAATATCAAAATGCCGTGCTCTAAATAATATAAAAATAAATAGAAAATATAGTAGTATTATTTTATAATCTTTGGCATTCTCACATCTATTGGTTTATTGTTCTCGTGGGCTGAAGGGGTTTTTTGAAACTAAACGCGATTCTAGGAAAAATGGTTTAAAATTAGGATTACTTGGAAATATCTTGCATATTCCTTTTGCTTGCCTCGTCCTGATGACTTCGTGTACCGCACGCAATCCTTTGCTTTGTGTCAAAAATAGGCACAATAATAAAATGCTTTGGTTTCTTTTTGGCTTGAGGCACTGAGCGGCGAGGTGCCTCCAGCTGTGACAATTGTAACATCTAACGAAGTGTTTTGGTGTTAATCCATTACCATGAGCTCGACCAATCTCTGATTCTTTCTTTGCGCGTTGTTCCTCTGTGGCTGGCATCTGCAGCTCCAACTCACTAAATGCAGCTCCAGCTAAAAACTTCTGCAGTCTTGAACCGCTAGGCAGGTTCTGTAGTCTGGAATTTTCCCTAAAAAAATATTTCATAAAACCATCTTCACCTGAGGCAGTTTAACTTGCCAACAATTCTTCTGCCAATTGCGATCATAAAACCCCTTTCAAAGATTTAACTAGTTTTAATTCTATGTTTCGAAATCTATTGCCGCATACGTCCACTTCACTGGGGTGATTTCAAGTAGCCAATCCATCTACACAGTTTGCTGTGGCATCTGAAATTGTTTGTTGCTTTGCCGTAGTTCTTCCATCCGAAAAGATGCCTGCTTTAAGTTGCCATCTACTCGTACTTTGAAGTTGTTACGCACTCCTTCTATTTTTATGCTGCCGTTGACATTGACGGTCTCTTCCCTATTTTTGTACTCTGCACAATTGACGCACTTTCGAATGACGTTGCAAAGTGACGAGTGGCTTTCCAAATTTTCCATAGGATGCAATTTAAGCTAAACCAATTTAACTTGATTTTAAGGCTCTTTTATTTTCGTAATAATTTGTCGGGTTCTGTTTAATTTTGTGCAATGTTTCACTTCCTCAGTTACCGCCCTATGCTGCTCTCATTTATATCTACCTATTACTATAGGGATTAAAACCTATGCCTTGAAGGTAAATTCGTTTAACTATCCGCATAAATTTCTTGTACTCCGAATTGTGATTGCACTTTCCACAAACACCATTCATGGAAATTAAGTATGTAACTTATTTGCTTTGATTGTTATGTTAATTATTTTGTGTGGTATATTTCAGTACGAATATATTTTTTAGAAAAGTAAAACAAAGATAAAAAAAAAGCGAAAAAAATTACACAAGTTCCAAGTAAACAAAGTAAACCAACTGCTGAGTCCTATCAGCAAACCAACGAAATGAGGTGAGCCATGGCCGTCATTAGCATAGTTAAAGCCCCGATAACCCCGATTCGAACTGCCCTTCCTCGAACAGCGAGACCAAGAAACTACTCGACATATTGTTATGCGACATTTACGGCCAGCAAGAGCAGCTGGCTCGACGCAAGCGGCGCTCTAGAGGCATGGATTCGCATCCAGAGAATCATCATTCAAGATCCACCAAGAAGAAGAAGAAGGGACAAATGGCTCGCCTGGTCAGCGGTGTGACGGGTGGTCGTGCAGTCTTGGAAAAACTGGATGTGCTCAAGCTCGTCGATGTCGTTGCCATTCTCAAGGTGGAGATGCTGATGATGGGCTATATGCTTAAGACAGTTCTCATATCCAGGGATCGGATGCAACGGCAGCAGGAGGTTCTGTGCAAGTTCATCGTCAGCGCAGTGGAGAGGCGTAAGTAATCCATCCGATTTTTCTCGCAGTGCAGCAACTGTCAAAATATGTGCGGGAGGTTGCAGGGCGCACTGCGCAGGTCCCACGGAGTGACAGCTGGGGGCTTGGATGCCTCTGCAGGCCATTCCTGGCCCAGTCAAGTGCGGACCTCTCAGCTGTGTGCCTCGTTAGTGCGGAATAGGAAAAGCCAAAAAACAAATTCAAGCTGAACGCTGAAAAAATCCTCGCTAGCGTCACGCAACGTGCATGTATGTGTGTGTGTGTGTGAGTGTGTGTGCTTTATTGAATGAACTTTGTTTGTGTGCGTGTGTTGTGGGCAGGTGTAGCCTGTGCGTGTGTGTGGGTGGGTGTGCCGTGCCGTGCCGTGCCGTGGCTCGGGGGGAGGCCGAGTTGATGACGACACAAGATGAGGCGATGGTGGGCTACGTTACTCTGAGACTGTCTGACGAGCCTGCACGCACACACGCACACACATACCCCAGTGTTCTCTGCCTGTATGGGTGGGTGGGTGTGTGTGTGTGTGAGTGTGGGCACGCGGTTTGGAATAACAACGTGTAGATGTCGCCGTCTCTGCTGATGTCGGGTCGGACTTGGCCTGGCCTCCACAAGCATTTCTGTCCGCTTTATCTATGTTTTCATATCTCCCTGCCTCTCTCTCTCTCTTCTTGCCACCTCTCTTTCCAAGTGTGCCTGCGTGTGTGTGTGTGTGTGAGTGAGTGGGGGCAGCCCCATGTTACCCTTGACAAAAATACTCGCATGGTGTGCCAGCAGCAGCAACAAGAACACCGAAACAAAACAGCCATAAAAACGAGCGCGTGCAAGAAGTACGAGTACGTTGGCTATGAAAGCCAGTTATTTATTTATTTATTATTAATTCACCTTCGCCTATTCGCCAATGCATTGCACTTTGTAATTGAGTTTTCTGCGGCCTGAATCCCGACCGTGCGTAATTGAATAATATACTTTTATCGATCGCCCCGGCCGAGACGAGACCGAGGCCCAGTGCCGTGTAATTAAAACCTGCAGGAAATCGAAATAGTGCACTCCATGCCATGCGGAATGGAATTTCATTAAATCTCAACTCGTTTTCTTCCGCCTCTTCCGTTTGCATGCGTTGGCCGAGCGCGCCATTTTGTCGGCCCTTTTCCTGTTCCAGGTGAACATGAAATTACCCCTACCCCCGCCCACCAACTTATGAAATGGCTTTGTTTTGATGACTGCCGCACATGTGTCCTGTGGCCATGCCCGACCGATATTGCTGCTATTTTTGTTTGCCGCTTGCCATTGTGGGATGCATGATTCATGTCGTGCTGCCACTCATGAGCTCGGCTTTTGTGTGGAAGAAGAAAAAAAAATGTTGATTGCGGATTGCATAACTACAAAGAATGTCCCACAAAACAGAAAGTGAAGGCCGACTGTGCGGCTCAGCTGTGAACAGTGTTTAATCCATATATCTGGGGCAAAACTATACAAATCCCTTGTGCAGTGAGTGAGTCGTCCACTTTGATTTATGACTTTGAGTGAAAGTGAAACTGCAAGCAAATTCTGAGCGACTTAAAGAGCTTAATCAATGCACAGTTGAGCCATGTTCAAACAAACTGCTGCTGCTGCTGCTGCCTAGATCCAATTAATAGCCACTTGGCAAACATCAATAGAGCAAATTCCCTGCGGCACACTCGATGGTTCTCTTGCCCCCCCCCATTCCTTTGTTCTCTCTACCACATTCTGGGGGTCGTCTGCTGTTTGCAGTTCTCCTCTTAAAGCCTTAATTAAAAGCCACACGCAGACTTAATGCTCTGCTTAAGCTCCTGCTTATTCAAAATTACATATTTAAATGCTTGTATATTTTAAACCCTAATTTCGGCTCAAAGGTAATTACTTGGACTATGGGATTGGCGCACCTCTGACAGAAGCGTTACGCTTAGGCGAGAAAGTGGGTCAAGACAGCGGCCAGTAAGCCAGGGAATCGATGATACGGCCAAGTCTCACAATGGCATGGCTTAGACCCCTAGCCTGGCCAAGCATTGAGTACGAGGTTTTTGGTTTCTGCAGTTGCACGGCTGTCAAGGTTTTCCTTTCTTCGGTTTTACGTGTCTGAATGGATGTGGCTGTGACTATGGCTGTGAGAGTTGAATGTGTTTTTTTTAAGATAGTTTTCAATGACATTTGATGTCAAAGTTATATAACTGTAGCATGCCACAACCTTATGTATACCAATACAACTAGTTGTAATCATATACGGATGTACTATATGTATATAGAAGCATGCTTATGTATGTATATGTATCTGTGAATCTATGTACGTGTATTTATGTAAATCTTGTGTAAATAATACAATAGGCCACAGCAAAATAACAACAACTACAACTACAACAACAACAGCAACAACAATTAGAACAACGTAAAAGCAAAAATGTAAAACCATAACTAGAGAATCCCCACAACAAGAATAAACTACTTACAACTACAACAAAGAGTCGCTGAGACAAGGGCAGTGGCAGAAACCATAGCATACCGACAGGCGCACGTTTACTTAACATGGGTAACTATGCCAAAGCCGCACCAACAAAACACACCAACTAACTAACACTCAATCACTCTCCTGTGTATACACATACCTGTACCATAGTTAACTATAAGTACGAGTATCTGGAGTGATTAATCCCGCAATTCATGTGTTTTTTTTTAGCTCCTCTCAGTGTCAAAAGTAATAACAAAGCCAGAATATATATACAAAAAATACATGCTTCGGCTACGTTTAATTGTTCGTTTCCAGCTAAACCTAACTCTTTCTCCGTATATCTTTCTCTTTATCCTGTATCTTTATCTTTATCTTTGTACATTTAACAACGAAATACTAACAAAATATCTGCGAAAAGGTAATTTATGCAAAAGAATTTGAACGACAGAAACAAACGCTGCTGCATATTTCATACGATATTTGTCCAGCATCAAAATGGCAAAAAAAACCCACTCACACTCGCACACTCAAACATATCCATACACGCACTACCAAACACACAAACATACACGTGCAGAACCCGTCCAGGCATATTACTCATGCTGAAACGCGCACAATTCTAATTTTGGCAGCCGCTTGTAATTAACATTTGCATTTTTGTTTTTGTATGGAAAGTGTTTTTTCCGCTACCACCCTCCCTCTGCCAACTGGTTGGCATAAATTTCCATTATTTCGTAGCTGAAGGGGCGTTCGAGCACATTTCACCAATTCATCCAGCCTTGGTGGCATTTAATTAGAATTTTCCACTACCCCTTTTTGGGGATTCTGCTGTTTATTTTTTGTTTCTTGTGCATAGCATTTTCATAGCATCGTTGACTGTATTTTTTTTCCAATAAATTCGTACCCTAAAGGGAGCATCTTTTGACACAAATACAACTGTTGCATGTTGGCCAAGTTTTTGCTGTTATTTTCCTACTCTTCACAAGCTTTTTTATAACTATCATTTCCTGTTTGCTGTACTTCCGTCTTTGTTTTTTTTTTTGTTCGTACAAACACCTTTGACATTTTTTCCATCAAATTGTAATTATGGCGTCGCTGTTTATTTTACGCTCTGACGCGCGTGTTTATGGCTATGCAAAGTGACACCAGCTGATATGTGTGTGGGTGGAAGAGCCCTGACACTCACACACTTTAATTTAATGAGAAACGACACCCTTAAGTTAACAGATAATAAAACAATCTATGTCCAATCACCAGCTACCAGCTGATGTACACCTTCTGCAATGAGTTAGAATACGTTTTTTTGCCATTTAATTTCCTTGGTAACTTTTGGGACGTACATAAGAACCCATCGCAAAATTCTTGAGCAGCCTGGCTGTCACAGGCACAGATCCCTCATCAAATTCAACTCAAGCTAAAAGCGAAGTACAAATAAAAATAAAAACTTGGATGTTTTTGGCAGGCAGGCAAAAATGTTCAGTTAAGTTTTGAGAGCAGAGCTTATTGAAATTGACAGGCAGCTTTTGGGTGGCCTTATGCAAATTGATTGGCCATTCTCCTGTTCTCGAAGGACACCCCAGCAGGACACGTGTCTTCTGTATAGCATCGGAAATTTAATCAAAGTTATACAACGCAAAGGACATCCAATGCGAGAGCAAAAACTGCAGCAACTCTTTGGGTTAAGCGTTATGCAAGTTGCTGGGAAGCACAATTCCTTTGCTCTTTGGGGCATAATCGCGTGTTGAAGTGCTTTTGTCTGGGGCCGCGTGATAAAAGCAAATTGCAACCGCTAAGCCGATAAGCCGATAAGAATTGGGGTTAAGCGTTGCAATAGTTTAATGAACCATTGAGGATGAACTTTACTGTATTACACGGTCTCATCTCATCTCTTCTGGATGGCCGCCGGCCTGGGAATTCATTAGAAGATTCACGCTCGAATTGACACTAATGGCACTGAACGTGCCTGCGCATCCAAGTGCAGTTGGGATTGGGTTCGTTTCCAAGACAGCCGCAGACAAACTGACGCTACTGCCGCAGTCTTTCTCTGTCTTTCTCGTTTTTTCTGTGTTCCCTCTTTGGGGTCATGCAGTCCCCCAGGATAAATACGGTTTAAGTACACAGCTTTTGCTGCTCTTGGAGCTCGCTCTGCTTTCGCACATTGGCTGAATGGCTGACTGGCGCAAATGGCCATTATATAGAGTGAAGTAAATCTCGTTTGAGCTGCTCCAAAGGTGTCAGAGGGAAGATAAATTAACTTTTAGCCATGAGTACAGCAGTTTTTCCAGGGAAGTGTGCTTAGGCCCAGACCCTGAATTGTAAAAATGTGACTGTTTATACGCCGCAGAAGGACTTATAGTTCAGTTCGCAACTTTTTAAGCTGTTTCCTCAGCAGCAGCAAAGACCTTTCTGTTTGCATGAAAACTAGCTGTGGCTTACAGTCCTTCTGAATGGCCCAGCAACAACAAATTTAATCCGAATCGATATATTGTACTGGTCTGTAAAGGTAGCAAAAGCTGCGGCATACAATGCTATCCTATTT